AAGATGGTTTCTAGCAAGGGTGACACACCAAGGGTGCGCTTGGTGCAAGAGACTCTCAGTATGGAGGGTTATTCCCTCTCCCACCTCCCCATGCTAAGTGATTCCGTAGTCCTGCTCCCCCGCTCAGGAATGCAGTCTGGGCTCCAAGCAGGTGCGATGCATCAGCTAACATAGTCAACTTTAGGAGAGTGTCTTAGACATACATTGTTGACCAGCTGCTGTGCAAACGTCACACAGGGCACTCTCCTACACAGACTAGATGGCACATTCGCTCAGTGTTCTCCTGATGAGATGAGCAAGCAAGGCTAGCACAGTGTGTTAGAGAAAACCCACCCCGATTAGCAGAAGCAATACATCTGCACTGGTTTTACGTCAACTTGACCCAAGCTGGAGTCCTCAGAGAGGAGGAGCCTCCATTGAGAAAACGCCTCCATAAGATCTGGTTGTAAGGCGTTTTCTTAAGGCTTGGGTCTCCTCCAGCATCTTAGAGTCATACCTGATTTTTCTTTCCATCCTGTTTTCATCAGAGTCCGTTGGAGAATGGGACAGTTTCCTTTTGTTTCTTGGCCAGGGATCTCCTCTTTCTGAAAGTCGGGCTTGTGGCACGTGATGGCAGAGAAAAGGAAAAGAAATAGGCTTCTTTATGTAAACTTGGTCATAAACACACGGATGACATATTGCCATATGTCAGGACATTTTCAACTCCATCAGCATCAGATGAGGCTGTCCTACCGAGCACTCTCTGCTGTAGATGAACGCGTCATTTCCCAGGGCAATGGCGAGAAAGAAAGCTGAGGTTGCCCCATGGAGGCCCAGGAATCAAGGAGTTAAGTAAGATCTGACATGACTCTACTCCCCAGGAAGCTTGGCGCTGGGTGGGACTTAGCGAGGGACCCTCACTCTTGACCACGTGAGAATCTGTGGTGTTGATAGTTTTCCAGGTGGGGATGTAAAAATAACTCCAAACCAGGACCCCAGCCTCCACCCCGAGCCGGAGCCTGGGTGATCATTGGAGGCTCCACTGTCCCTACTGTTGCTGGAATTTGTTTAATGTAAACTTCAAGTGTTTCAAATGTGCTTCTTCAGACAATGTGGACCACAGCGGTCATCTACGGCCATCTACGGGGATGCTGGCTTTTGCTTTGTCGGTCTTGATGCCTCTTAATAAAAACATGGAATCCTGTGAGTGCTTCCTTTGTCGCTATCCTTGTTTGAATCCGTGATAAAACACTAACCACAAGAGACCTGGGGGAGAAATTACATCATCTTATAGCTTACAGTCCATCATCAAGGGAAGCCAAGACAGGTGTAAACCAAAGCAGGGACTTGCAGGCCGGAGAGATCGCAAGGGGACAGAAGCTTCCAGGCTTGTTTCCCCTGGGTGGCCCAACTTGCTTAATTGTATGGTCCAGGCCCACCTGCCTAGGATAGTACTGTCTGCAGTGGGATGGGCATCAACCTGCGGTTAAGAGGAAGCCTCACAGTCATGCCTCAGTCAGGTGGGGCAATTGGTCAGCTGAGGTTCCCTCCTCCCAGGTCTGTTAGATTGACAGCCATTTTCCTCTTCCCTCCCCAGAACCATGTCTCATTCTCGCACTTACTTATCAGTACTGCATGGTAATGTTTGCTGTTTTTTTAAACTACCAGAAATGATATGCAATATTTTCAATTTATATTCATATTTAATTTTTGAATTTCCTTTATATGAATAAAAGTAGTACCGACACATTCACATGAACATGGGTCTAACATGCCTTGGAACTGATTCTCCGTTTGACAGGCAGTTAGGTGTGTTGTTTACAGTTTCTTCCTATTGAAACACAGACTTTTCCGATGTAGGTGTTGTCAATGTGCCTGACACGGTGGGAGTCATTGCACTCTCGAAGCACGCGCGCCAGCGTGCAGACAAGGGTGTGTCAGCTCTAGTTTTGTGGTTCAGAACTGCACACTGAGGCTGGGCCTCTTAGTTGTATTTCCCATTTTTTTTAATCTTAAAAATTGTGTTGTGTTTCCCCTAGTTTTAGTGTAGGTTCTTTACCAATTCTTGACCAATGATCTGGGTTTCAAGTATTTCTGTAAAAGTTCAGAATTTCCATGCTCCCGTGGAAGTAGGCAGGTCCTGAGACACAGCTCTGTTGACAGCTTTAGAGGACATGGGGTCATTCAGTCATTTCGGAATGAAAAGTCAGTGTAGTCACCATGGAAGGAGAGGCAAAAACAGACGTTTGATGGTGTGAACCACCAGAGGGAAGGCCACTGGAGGGGAGGCCTCTGGGGGGGGGCAACAGAGGAGAGGCCAGCAGAGGGGAGGCCAGCAGAGGAAGGCCAGCAGAGCTAAGCCTTGGAAAGCACCAGATGGTCTTGACTTTCCTGCCTGGAGCAAAGGCTGATGTGGACTCAGAGACACTGGCTACTCTAGAAAGGACCATGAGAGGCAGTTCACCTGGCAGAGACTTAGCTCTCCAACCCTGAAGCCCATGAGACCAAGAACAAGGTGTTGGCAGAGCATTGTTCCTGGCACAGACTCTGGGCAGGAGACTTGTTTTGTTGAGACAGAATCTCACCACATAACTCTGGCTGTTCTGGAACTCACTGTGCAGACCAGGTTGGCCTCAAACTCACAGAGATCGCCTGTCTCTGCTGCTCGAGTGCTGGGATTAAAGGCGTGGGAAGGGTGGGGCTGTGTTTGTGTTGAGGTGTCCTGCTGTGCAGCTGTCAGCTGCTGTGTTTTAGATTTATCTCTGTTACATAAGGTATTCCTGGAGATGATTCCAGGCCACAGTCCCGCCCTCCTACAGACATTGGGAGCCAGGGATCGCTGTGGCGAGTCTCCCAGAGTGGCCAAAGCCAGGGCCCCAAGTATTTTTTAAATTGGACATCCTTTTCCCAGAACACCAGGGCCTATACCTTCCTGACAGTGATGGGTGAATCCTGTCTCCATGCTCAAGGCAGGAGACTCAGCCCTATGTAGACTGACTCACCTGTAGAAGGCTCACCTTCTGCAGCTAGCGTGTCACATTTCAACTGTCACCCAAAGATGGGGCAGCCCGGAAACAGTCACAGTGTTTGCATCCCCAAACAGCCACATCTAGGTTCTGATGACTCAGAAGGGCTGGGAGGCCAGAGATGCATTCACAGGGAGGGAGGACCACGCCTGGTGCAGCTGCAGAACGAGTGACAGGTGGCCAGCAGGAATTCCTGGCGACGCTGCCCGGCTTTTGCCTTCTTCCTCCACCTAACTGCTGGCTCAGATAACCGAGAGTGGTAACTCGAGAAAGGGAGGTGGCACCACCATGTTCAGCCTTCACCTGCCTCAAGGACTACATTTTTGTGGGATGCTAATGAGTATCACTAAGCAGGCAGTACCACTGCAATGCCCTCCCAACCCTCGTTCATCTAGTGAACTCATGCCTGGGCCTCAAAACCCAGGTAGTTTACCTCATCCCGACAACACAATCGTGACAATTGTATGTCAGAATTCCTGCCATAAGGCTTTTCAGTGCTCTCCAGAGGGCTCTACTGGGTGTCATGGGCTCTCAGTATCTGCAGGCTGCATCTGGTCTTTGATCCAGGCTCTGTGTGCTCTAGGCTCTCCCCACTCTATGCTCTCCCCATGTGGGAGACGGCATCTCTATGCCAGGACCAGCTTGCAGGCTTGGACTTGTCCATCAGACCTCAGACCTTGCACACAGATCTGGCTTCCACTGCCCAATCAGTGAAGGATGACCCCTGGACACCCCTTTGGGGGCCCATGAGATGCCCAATGTGGATATCAAGTGGGAGCAGTCAGACGCAGCCATTTTGTGGGGTGATGGACAAAATGTGCTGGAGGGTTCTCATGTGGTTCCTGTGAAAGCCTATTGATGCCAAAATGCCAGTTGGTGGGGACCAGCCTATTGATGCCACACTGCCGGTCGGTGAGGACCAGCCTATGGATGCCACACTGCCAGTCGGTGAGGACCAGGCAAGAAACACCCACGTTGAGCTGATGGCTACCCCCATCTGCTGGAGCAACTTCAGCATGGCCTCTGTTAGGCCTCAGTTCCTTCCTTTAGGAGCCACAGCAGCCTCATCCTCACAGGCTGCTCAAAGATGGTTTCCATTGTCAACCACTTACTGAAAGTAAGGCAAGGCGAACTGGACACGGATGAAGAGTCTGCACCTGCTTGGGTTAAAAGCGACTTAGGAAGGAGCTGGAGAGGTGGCTCAGTGGTTAAGAGCATTGACTGCTTCTTCAGAGGACCAGGGTTCAATTCCCAGCATGCACATAGTGGCTCACAATTGTCTGTAACTCCAGTTCTAGATGATCTGATGTCTCTTCTGATCTCTGCATGGCCCTACATGCATGCAGACACACACACACACACACACACACACACACACACACACACAAGCAAGTACATTTTAAAAAATCTGTTTGACAGTGCTGAAAAGAGATGTCTCCAGACAGGAAGGGGGCTTTCTATTATTTGATTAAAAAAACTAAATGTATACTATTTTTATCAAAATACACTGAATAAACATATCTCAGGTACTTATTAAAGTGTACTCAGCTATTTATTAAAGTGTATAATAATAATAGCTTCTCTGGGGAAAGTGCAGAGTTAGAGTTTCTGCCTTTAAGAGTGATAGACAGGGAGGCCCTGGCACCCAGCCTAGGTCACTTGTGTTTCAGGTGTTAGTGGTGCTATAGATCAAGTGGTCCAGGGTCCTCTGCATTGCTCCTGTGAGGTGGCTGGGAATGCAAGACTAAATGCCCCTCACAGCCTCATAAAGCCTTCTTCCAGACTAGGCTCATACAATGATTGACAGACCCTGCTTCCAGGTTGCACTCTAAAGTGGCTGTCCCCACCCATCCCCATCACTCTCCCCACCCCACTCCATCCACCTGACTCAGGATGGGGGAGGAGTCTTCTGGAATTTCACAGGAGAGAAGGTGGTGGAGCCAGAGGCCAGAGTCCACAGAACCCAGCAAACATATGGGTATAAAAGGGCCTTGCTTGTGCCCCTGCACATCCTGTGAGCTCATCCTGAAGCTTCCTGCTGCCATGGAGACCAGAGCCCTCTGTCTAATGCTGCTGGTCCTGCTAGCTGGCTCCTCTGGGGTAGCTGCGGAGTACATTGGCCTGTGTAAGTACCTATCTGGCTTCATCAGCACTAGTCTGGAACCTCTCAGCGGGGGAGAGACTCAGAAGCCTGCCTACCTTCTACATCAATTTCATACCTAATTACCATTCACCGGGCACACGTTTTCTTAGAGCAGTCCTACAGGGTGCCTCTTTCTGTCCCCTTTCACAGTCAGGTTAATGGAGGCTCAGAGAAACTGAGCATGCCCCTCTCCTCCTCAGTCTGTAGCGGGGTTGAAACAGAGGTTGGGGTGGGAGGGCTGGCAGGTGCTCATCACCTCTCATTTCCTTCTTTGCCAGAGATTTCTGAGCAGGGATGGGCTTTCCACACCATCCTGGCAAGTTGCCAGAATAAACCAGGCACAAATAGAAGCTCCAGATGGTTTACAGAAACCAGTAAATCACAGGGCTGGGTGAGAGGTGGCCAAACTCAGAGACCTGGGGTATGACCTCTTCCAGGTGACCCCTTACTGGGGTGAAGACAGTAGAGCCCCTGGGGAGCAATGAAACCCTTTAGACTTGGGCATGTAAGGGCATCCGGTAGCTGGAGCCAGGTTGAAGCTTCAAAAGGTCCCTTAGAGCCCTGCGTCAAAGTCTGGAGTAGTCAGGAAGACATGATGGCCCCGCTGCAGTGGGGAGATGTGGAAGGCTGTTGGGTTTCCACTTTCATAGGGGAAATCAGGTAGCCGGTGATCGGGGGCAGGCTTTAGAGGTACATATGGATAAGTAGACAGAACAGGGATGCTGGAGATGGAGGAAGCCCACAGCTGGAACAGGACCAGCTAAACCAGCATGTGGTGGGAGCTATAAGTAACTACAGAAACATTCTTGACAAAACAAAGATGGTCCCAAATCAAGACAATTCCTGAGTACAAGATGGGGGTGTCAGGGCTACAGCAGAGGGTGGGGCCTTTGCCACAGTTTCGGAAGTTATCTGATGGCGTTCTTAGCTTTGGGGTTGGTGGCAGCTAGGGGCGCCTTAAGCAACACATTCCAAGGTTTCACCCGAGAGCCAACGGATGCTAGTCCGCTGCAGAGACGGGTAAACTAATGACAGTCCAGGACGATTTTAGCTCCGTATCCCCGCTCTCCGCTGTCCGTTCATTTCATAATGAACTGCTTTTCTTTAGACATCCCCTAGGGGGCAAGACTGTCACCATCATTGAATTCAGGAGGAAGGGTTCCAGGGTTCCACAGGAAGCAAGAAAGTAATCCCAAACTTGCAGCCTGGCCACTGATGTGGTTTCATTTGGACAGCTCCAAGTCAGTGTATGGTCCCGGCCAACGTCAGGGTGGACTGCGGCTACCCCAGCGTCACCAAAGAGGAGTGCAACAACCGTGGCTGCTGCTTTGACTCCAGCATCCGGAATGTGCCCTGGTGCTTCAAGCCCCTGCAGGAGGCAGGTAAGGTCAACCAGCGATGCCCAGGGCAGCCCTGTCCTTCCATGTAGCTGGGCCTCAGCAGGACACCAACATTGTCACTATTCCTCGGTGGAGGCCTCACATAGGAGACCTCATTTCAGGTATTTTGGATCCAGGGCAGCTAGTGATCAGTGGCTGGTCCTTTCTATAAACTATAAAGATGTAATCTGAGGGCTAGAGAAATGTCCCAGTCAGTGAACCGCTTCCCACACAAGCATGAGGACATGAGTTGGATTCAGGAAATCGTGTCAAAAAGCCAGGTGCGGTGGTCCATGCTTGGGCTCTCATTGCCAGGGAGCAGAGACAGGCAGATATGTGGGGCTTTACTGGCCAACTAGCCTAGACTAATTAGAAAGTTCCAGACCACCAATAAGCAAGGTAGGACTAGTGAGATGGCTCAGCAGATAAAGGTGCTCGCTGCCCAGTCTGGTGACCTGGATTCAAATCTCTAGCCCCACATGGTGGCAGAGGAGAACTGACTCCACCAACCTGCCCTCTGACCTCTACCTGTGCACTGGCATGCCTCCTTTCACATATGCACACACACAAGTAAATAAATGTAGATGTATGCACACATACACATAATTGCACACACACACACACACACACACACACCAAAGCAAATAGCAGCTTAGGAACAACACATGAGGCTGACCCCCCCCAACACACACACACAAACACACATGTACACACACACACACGTACACACACACACACGTACACACACACGTACACACACACAAACATACATGTACACACACACATACACACACACACACGGTGCAAACTGGTGTGAAAAATGGACACTGCATGGCTGTGGAAATGGATTGATTTTGAGCTAATGTTTTATCAAACAGGCCATCCATAGCCCCTTGTCACCTAGGACATGCTCACCGCACACCAGCAGCCAGGTGACTGTCCTTGTGCCCTGGCTCCTGCCCACTAGCCCGCCTCTCTTACCCCCTCCCTGGGTGGAGTGGGTTGTAGGGCAAAGCCCCTGAGAATCCCTGGGTAGGGCCATGTGCAAACAGCAGATGGCCAGGCACACGGGTGGCTTGCCAATCCTGTTTTACCAAGGTCCAATCTATCCCATCTTAGGGGAGCCATCCGCTGTGAGCCATCTGTCACTTCTAAATGCTGGCTCACCTTCTAAGAGATTGTATCTCTACGAGGGATTGTCCTGGGCTGGCACCCAAAGGATCCAGATGTGCTCTTTGGCCTGGGTAACAAATGGCTGAGCCCCAGCTGAACAGAGGCATCCCATGTGCCGCTCCCCTCCTTCAGCAGAGCCAGGAAGGAGAAATGAGTGTGGTCAGGAGCAGTAACAGGGGCTGGCCGCTGCCCCATGAGTGGCAGGTCACTTGCCTCTGGCTCCCTTCTAGGCACTATGGCACATACCCCTGACAGGACCTCTGGGGTGCAGTTATGTGATTTGGTGATGTCAGGAGGATGCACAGTGCCTCCTGCAGGCTTTGGGGGACTCACATTCCCCTGTGACCAGGGAAGAAGGCCGCCATGTGCTAGTTTGGGAAGCCAGGCAACCCTGTGGGAATGACCTTAATCCTTTTCTTTCTTTCCAGAATGCACATTTTGAAGCCAGCCAGGCTCTGGGAAGCGGCCTCTGCACCCCGCACACTGGCTGCCGGTGGTGGTTGAGGGCAGCGCTCATCCCTGCTCTGCTCTCTCTGCTGCCCACATAGGAGCCCGGAGTCCTGACGAATAAAGACCCCACACTCAGCACAAGGCTGCTCTGATGGCTGAGACCTCTGCTCTTGTGTTTATTTCTCCATGTCACTCTTGGGGGGTGCAGAGGGGGAAGGGCCACACTTCACGGAGGAGAGAGTGTTCCAGACCCATGGGGAACTGATCCTGAGTTGCTTTAACACACCAAGAGACTCAAGTCAGGAGCCCCCGAGAGGAGTGTTCTAGTTCCCTATAATGTTGCCATAAAACACTCTACCCTAATCAGCTCAGGGGAGGAGGGGTTTATCTGGCTTACACTTCCAGGTCACAGTCCCATCACTGAGGGAGGTCACAGGAGGAACTTGAATCAGAAACCATGAAGGATGCCCCCTGCTGGCACAGTTGGGCTTTTGCTCACTTGACTTGCTTATAAAGACCAGGCCCACCCACCTAGGGAAGGTGCCACCCACAGTGGGCTGGGCCCTTCTACAGCAATTAACAAGACCATCCCTGCTCCACCCCCAGGCAGGCCAATCTGATCTGCCATGCCCTCAGTTGAGACTGCTGTCTCAGGGGATTCTAGAAAGATAGAGTTAGAGCTAGCGAGAACAGCAGGCAGACGGAACCTTCTACAGCACATCGACTCTCTAAGATGAGAAGAAAATAAACAACAATAAAAAACCCAAGAAACAAACAAAAACAAAAGGCAAGCAAGCAAAAGTCCCCAAACACCTCTACTACAAGATTTAGAAATCAAGTCTTTCTTGCGAAGAAATCAAACGATGAAAACCATCTTCTATTATGGCCTGGTTTGTGTTTATCTACAGTCCCATTTAATATCAGTCACATTGTGGGTGGTCACCCCCCCCCCTTTTTAGTGGACACAGAGCAGTGGTCTGTATCTCATTTCCTACCCAACATCCACTGTGGTTTGATCCGCCCTCTTCATTTCCTGGTGTGAATTTTCTCTGAATCATCTTTGGGGATGTTTGGGGGTGGAGGCTCCTGCTTGTGTTGCCTGGCTGATCCTTAGCTCTGTGCCCACAGGGGACCCCTCTAAATACTCCATCATCCATGCCCCATTCACACAGCACAGTGGTCAGAAATCATTGCTTCTCACTGAGGTGGGCATCCATGGTTTCTTCTCCTTGGAAAAGGACTCAGTCCCCCAAACACCATGCACTGGGAATGACATTTCATTCCCAGTGATATTGGGCAAGTCACACTGAGAGCACATCAGACTGGATAGTGATTGTTACACCCAGGACACACAGGGTCAATAAATGTGGTTAAAGAGGTCCTGGAGAATAAGAGAACACAGTGACAGGGGTCTCCACGAGGGAGTCAGCAGTGCCTGGTTTTGCTGTGGTGAATGTGTGGAGACAGATGGAGAAGCCCCAGGCTGTGGTCAACAGCACAGGACCTTCCAGACTGGCAGGACGCATCAGATTCTCTCTCCTCACCCACAACTGGGATGTCAGCTTTGGTTGACTTTGGAGGTTAAGCACCCCAGTCCCTTAGAAAACCTCTCCAGCGTGTAAAGTCTGTGTTGGCGTTACACAAATAAAATGCAAATCCCGTTCCAGACCAGCTGTTTGTAACAGTCTGCAGGATCTGAACTTCAGGCTTCCAGCATGACTGTGGCAACTCTTCATCCACACTGGCCACCTTCCTGCCTGACGCTTAGAGAAGAAAACTGCATCCTGTTGCTCCCTGGTTTCTAGTCAAGCCATGAGGTTGCAGTCCCTCTGAGCGGAGCACCCTTCTCTGTGGGGCAGGTGAACTGGAGTCCTCTGCTCTTCTGGGTGCAGCAGTCTTGGCCCTCACCTCCCTCTCATTGCAGCACCCGCCCATCTCTCTCTGCCTGGCTCTCCTTGACCACAGGAACTCAGGATGCTGCCCCTTCCTCAGGGCCCCGGGTAGAATGGTGTGGGCTCAGCTGAAGGCAATTTGGCTACACTCCAGGAGCCATGGTATTCACGTCAGAATTTCTGGGAGTGTCCTCCAGGCCTAAGTGAAGGCAGCTGTGAGCCCTTCAAGCGTGAATCAGAACCTTGAATAAAACTGAGACAGCCTCACAGCGCCCTCTGCTGGCAGCCTGGAGTGGCGGCCGCTCCTCACCTCTTGCCATCTAGTTTCCAGCTTCCCAAATTCCCTGCCTCCTGCCAGAGTCCAACCCTGCAGCAGTGATTTCCTTGACTGGCTTTGGACTGTGTGGTGTCCTGTGGTTGTTCATCTCTCTGACACTGTCACTGAGTCAGCAAGGTGCTGAGACCTTCCTGGCTGTGGCTGACAAGCCCAGTGTCACTCGGCAGCATGCCTATGATGTCCTGTGGGGTCGTGGGACACACATGGGCCAAAGATAGGTATCTCACATCCAAACTCACTTTGTGTTGTTTCCTATCTAGGGCGTGGGGTGGATTTGGGCTCAGAGACATAGTCTAACTGTATTGCCCGTGTGTATTTAGGAACTTGGGGTGCATTTCTGAGTGTCATATGAATGTGGGGACAAGGCCGGCTTTGAGTAGATACAAGGATAGAGGTATCTGTAATGTGCCAAGTGCCCTTCCATAGACCACTGCCTCTGTCTGTGACCGTCCAGAGTCTTGTCTGCTCATGGTGGCTGCAAACTTGCTGTCATGATTTGAACCCAGGCCCTGTCCTGTCTGGCATCCTGGCATAGGTTATGTCCTGGTTTTATTCTTTATAGCAGTAATGAGCAAAAACAACCCGGGAGGAAAAGGTTGATTTGGTTTACATGTTACAGTCCGTCACTGAGGGAACTCAGGGCAGGATCCCAGACACAAGAACAGAAGCAGAGGCTATGGAGAAGGCGCTGGTCCCGGCCTGCTCCCCATGGCTTACTCAGCTTGCTTTCTTACATAACTCAGGACCACTTGCCTCAGGGTGGCTCTGCTGTAGCGGGCTCCTCCCTCCCATATCTCTCAGCAACCAACAAAAAGGCCCACTGATTTACCCACAGGTCAGTCTGATGGAGGCATTTTCTCAATAGAGGTTTCCTCTTCCCAGAGGATTCAACCTTGTGTCATGTTGAAAAAAAAAAAGTCCAGGCACGTTGTTTTTGTTTTCTGGCTTACCGTGTCCCGCATTTACCTAGCATGGAGCTACAGGCATGGTGTTCACTCCAGTATAGTGATACCAGCACTATACAGCTGACCACTCGACATTCCAGGAGGTCTGCTTTTGGTGATTTTATGTAGGAGCTCTGGCACCCTGGTTCCTCGTTACATCCTCTGGGGTGTGAATATGCCAATACCTGTTCACTAGCTACTTAATAGGGATGTATGACGTTTTCAAAAGTTTATGTGCAGACTTGATCATTGGAATGTGAAGGGGAGGTGGTACCGTGTGTGTGTGTGTGTGTGTGTGTTAGGGTTCTCTAGAGGAACAGAATGTGTGTATATTTTACAAGAGGATTCAATTTATTGGTTTCTATCATAGGGACACTTGGGAGGCAGAAGGATTCCTGCAAATTCAAAGCTTGACTGGTCTAGACAATGAGTTACAGCAGGCTGGGCAGGGCTACATGGTGAGACCCTGCCTCAAGCAAGTAAAACAAAAACAAACAAACAAACCGAACGAACAGTGTGACTATCAACCAATTCTCACTTAGTCAGAATCTGAGTTTCTGAGATTTGTGTTGCCAGGGGTCCTGCCTGTCGTTTCTTAGGTGGCTCATCCCCTTCCAGGCTGATCATGTTCTATTTCCAGCCATCTCTCTGGGCACAGGGGTTACTAGCTGCTTTTCTCTGCAGCTGTCTTTGTCCCCATTGGCCTGGTCACAGCAGCCTTTCCATCTTGTGACCCCACCTCCCTAACCCTAGTTGGCCTCCCTTGTCTTCCAGAGAACAGATCTGCTCCCCACACTGTGCGTGTGCAGCCCCAGCGACCACTAGAGGGCACCCTTGGACACTCACTTGTGTGAAAGGACTTGTCATTGTCCTTTCAAAGCTGAATGCATCACATCCAGTAAAGGATGTGGCCCTCAGGTCCCCTAGGAGGGAAGACTATGCTGGTGACGCCCCAGAGAAAGGGGAGCCTGCTTCCTCTCCCCACCCCCTGCAAAGTTCCATTCAGAAAAGTTTGCTGTGTGTGTTGGGGGAAGAATGTCTAGGCCAGTGCCTCTCAACCTCAATGCTGCGACCCTTTAATACGGTTCCTCATGTTGTGCTGACGCTCCCCCAACCATAACATTCTTTCCATTGCTACTTCATAACTGTAATTTTGCCACTGGTATGAATGGTTAATATCTGTGTTTTCCAATGGTCTTAGGTGATGACCTGCGGATTGAGAACGGCTGTTTTAGGATTGCCTGGGGAGGTGGAGCATCAACAGGAGCCCCACACTGCCTCTCAGAGCAAGGATTGCTTATGGAGAACCAAGTACACTGGTCCCAACAGGTCACTAGCATGGGCCTCTACATAGCTACGTGCTCCCTGGCTAGTCTCAGCATCTCTGCCTCACACTGTGGAGAGGGACCTAGTAACTTGAACGTTTCTGGAGCCCAGAGCTCATGACTCATTGATCATAAAATAAACAGGACCCCTAAGTGGACACAGCTCATTCCACACCACAGCACAGAGCCACAACAACCCCAGTGACTGGTGATTCTGTTTTGTGCATCCCACGATGACAGGTAGAGGGGACCAGCACTACTGTATTGAGAGAGACCTCACTGAAGGGGCTACGGGTTGGTGCCAAGGTTTACTGTCCTGTCTATGGAGTTGTGTTGGATAGTCTTATGTCAACTTGACATAACTAAAATCATCTGAGAGGAGGGAGCCTCATTTAAGAAAGCACCTCTGTAAGATCTGGCTGTGGAGTATTTCCTTAATTAGAGATTAATGGGAGGAGGCCTAGCACCTTGTGGGTGATGCCATCTTGGGCTGGTGGTCCCGGGTGCTATAAGAAAGGAGGCTGAGCAAGCCACGGGGAACAAGCCAGCAGGCAGCGACCCTCCATCAGCTCCTGCCTCCAGGTTCCTGCCCTGTTTGAGTTCCTGTCCTGACTTTCTTCAGTGCTGAACAATGATATGGAAGTGTAAGCCAAATAAACCC